ACACAGTATTTGTCTTTCTGAGATGGGCTTAGTTCACCAAATATGACTATCTCGAAATTTCACTCTTTAAGGGTGGAAAAATTACTCTCTCTCTCTCTCTCTCTCTCTCTCTCTCTCTGTGTGTGTGTGTGTGTGTGTCTGTGTGTGTGTGATGCCAAATTTTCTTTATCCATTCCTCTGTTCTTCTACAACTTAGCCACTGTAAACAGTGCTGTAGTAAATATCATTGAGAAACTACCTCAGTGATATGCTGACTGGGAGTCTTTCACGTATGTACCCAGGAGTGGTATAACTGGGTTATATGGTAGATCAATTTTTAGTTTTTAAAGAAAACTCCAGGGGCAAGAAAGTTGTGAAGAGTGTTCATTACTCTTGCAGACTGCCTGAATTTGCTTCCCAGCACCCATGTCAGGCATCTTACAACTGCCTGTAACTCTAGCTTCAGGGGATCTGACACCCCTGGCCTCCAAGACCTCTTCAACACACGGTATACAAAATCTCATGTAAGTAAACACACTTGGACATATATAAAATAAAAATATAATTTTAAAACAACCATCCATACTGACTTCCATAGAGACTAGACTGGCAGGATTGGCTTAACATTCGTAAATAAGTCAATAAATATAGGAAACTATCTAAATGGACTTATATATAAAGATCACATGGTCATCTCAATAAATGCAGAAAAAGCCTTTGACAAAATCCAACATGTCTTCACGCTAAAAGTCCTTGAAAGAGTGTGGCTGAAGGGAGCATACTTCATTGTAACAAAGGTTGTATATGACAAACCCTCAGCCAACATTATCCTAAACAGAGAAAAACTTGAAGCAATTCCATTACAATCAGGAATGTGACAGGAATATCCACTCTTCCTGCTCCTTTGCAATATAGTACTGAAAACACTAGATAGCAGTAGAAAATGCAAGCATGACCTGGCAACTGACTTAGCACACCATGCTGCTAAAGTCAGAACACTGAATTCTGAAGTCATGTGAGCAGACGGGAGTTGGCCTGCGGTCTGTATTCTCCGTGTGTCTTTTTATGTATGGCTTTCACGAAGAGATCCTGGTGGTATGGGTGCTCACTATCCAACCTGAAACAGTGTGCCAGCCACTCACAGTTGGAAGGCGCCCACTATGTAAGTGGTTGTTCACATGCAATAAAGCAGACAGTGTTCCCTAAAACTGCCTCCAGAGTGGTTTACCTCAGCACCCTTTACCAACCCATGGGCATTACTGTCTGCAGTAACAAAGCAAGAGAAGGAAATTAAAGGGATACGAATAGAGAAGGAAGTTAAATTATACCTATTTGCAGGTGATATAATATCATATAGAAGAGATCCACTAGAAAACTTATAGAAACAATGAACAACCTCAGCAAAGTGGCAAAGTGCAAAACCAACTTATGAAAATCAATAACTTTTCTATAAACCAACAACAAACACATTGAGAAAAATTATTGGCAACCTCCCATTCTCAATAACAAAGATAATAAAATACCTTGAAATTAACCTAACCAAGGATGTGAAAGACCTCTACAATAAAAACTGAAAAATTTAAGAAAGACACAAGAAAATGGAAAAACAATACATGTTGATGGACAGGTAGAATGTATATTGTGAAAATAACCATCCTAGCAAAAATAACTTACAGACTCAATGCAACCCCAATAAAAAATATGCTCAATATTCTTCACAAAAAATTTTTAAAAAATCCTTAAATTCATATAGAACTAGGAAAGACCCCAGATAACCAAAGCACCAGGAATAACTGACCAATATAAAATAGATTCCATATTTTTTTGGTATGGGGAAGTGCTATAAGTCACAGGAGTATTCAGTAATTAATCAGTCTCATTTCACAAGGTCAATTTATCAGAGTTAGGAATTCTGTATGGAGGATTAAAACCAAAATGCAAGGCATGTTGGAATTATTGCCTTGTGAATAAAGTGGTTGTTTCTTGCTGTAGATTTCTTGCTTATCCCCTTCTGTTACAAATTTCAGATTTATTTTCCATAGTTCAGCACTATTTGATCATTTATTGGGCACAATTTGTGCACTTGAGGTTTATGATTATATCTCCTAACTATGTGTGAAAACAGCCATACAGTCAAGAAACCTGCTTCCCACTACCAGGCCTCTGTTCCTTTCTTCAATGTAAATGTAGAGATCTGCCTTCCTGTAATTATCTTTCTTGACAAGCATTTGGTGAGCGTTAAGTGTCCAGGCAAAATTATTTCATTTATGACATTCCCAGATATCCAAGGACTACATGCCCAAAGTTGTTGGTTCATAGCTGCTCAGAGAGAGAGAAAAAAATAAAGCATGCCCTGGTTTTACGTAACGTATAGATAAGAAAAGAAATGACCTAAAACTAACTTTGCATTAAAAGATTCCTAACTCCTCATGCTCACCTTCACCTCAGTTTACTGGTGATTTTAGTTCAGGAGATTTACTGCTAGTATCTTACTCTCAGAGATAGAAGGAAAAATAATTAATCATTTATCAACACCCCGAAAGAAGACAAACCTCCACTGGCACCTCTGATAGGCATCAAGCCCGGAATCTGATAATTTAGAGGCTTGAGTCTCCTCTTTGTTTCAACTACTTAAGGTAAATGGTGTAAACTTCAGATCTGAAAGATCCTTAGAGCTTAAAACATTTGGTGGAAGCGCTAATGGATCAAGGTTCATGATCCTTCGTTGTCTGTTTACGTAGGTTGCCTAGTTACTCTCTATGCCTGCAAGATTTTGTGGGTCTCTTTTTTTAAAAAAAAAAAAAAAAGATTTATTTATTATGTATACAACATTCTGCCTCCATGTATGTCCACACGCCAGAAGAGGGCACCAGATCTCATTACAGATGGTTGTGAGCCACCATGTGGTTGCTGGGAATTGAACTCAGGACCTCTGGAAGAGCAGCCAGTACTCTTAACCACTGAGCCATCTCTCCAGCCCTGATTTTGTGAGTCTTTATCGCTGGATAAGAACAAAGAGAGAGGACTGGTGCGGGAGAATTATCTGTATTCTGTCAATCATATTTTAATAAAACGCTGATTGGCCAGGCAGGCAGTATAGGCAGGAAAGCCAGACAGGAAGTAAAGGTGGAGCAAAGAGACTGGGAGTATTCTGGGAAGCAGGAAGTTCGTTCTGCCATTCCTGCCCAGACCACCGAAGACAGCAACATGTGAGCTGACAGCTGAAAAAGGTACCAAGCCATATGACTAACATAGATGAGAATAATGGGTTAATATAAGCTATAAGAGTTAACAAGAAACCTGAGCTAATGGGTCAATCAGCTTTATAACTTACAGAGATCTCTGTGTGATTGATTTTCTCTGGGACTTGCTGGCTGTGGGGTACTGGGCGGGACAGAAACCCCAACAAGCCGGTCCTCATGTTACAGAGGACAGAAGCTGGAGCAAAAGTTGGAGCAGAAGTGTCCCAAAAATTGGCAGAATAGGACAATGAAGAAGAGGAGGAGGAGGAGGAAGAGAAGGATGAGGAGGAGGGGGAAGGGAAAGAAGAAGGAGGAGGAGAAGAGAAGAAGGAGAAGGAGATAGCAGAATTAGAATTGGAATTCCAGTTGAGACAGAGAATTAGAGCTAAGAAATTATAGACAGGACAGAAGAATTAGGATAGAGCACAAGAAAGAAAGAACAATGAAGAGACATGGATAGAAAGACTATATTGTGAGTAGATTTCTTAGCCCTCAGGTTTTAGTCTTCTCACTTATTGTAGCATCATTTTTGAACCCTGAGAGAGTTTTAGAGGCTGGTCTTTTAAAGTTTTCGATGGAAAAGTACTTTTTGCTTAGTTTGGTGCTTTTTGTCTCATTGGTTTTGGTTCCTTTTGTTTGTTTTATTGCTTTTAACTTTGTTTATTTTGGGGGGAAGAGAAGCAATATGATGTTGGGTGGTAGGGTGTTAGGAAGGATTTGGGAGTAGTTGTGGGAGGAGAAACATCAAAATACATTGTGTGAAAATTTTTTAATAAAAAATTAAATGTAAAAAATGAAGATTTATCATAGGGATTGCTATTCCAGATTTCAAGATATATTAAGCTACAGTAATAAAAATATAGTACTTGCACAAAATCAGATATGTAGATCAATTAAATAAAATTGAAAATCCAAACATGAGTGCTCATAACGACGGCCATCAGATGTTTGGTAAAGATATCCTTGCATTTTAAAGAGATTAAATTTTCAAAGTTCAAGCTTCTCTGCATATCCAAAATAAGGCAGATGTTTGTCCCTACACATAGATATGGATGTTTGGAACAATAACAGTTTTTAAAGAAGGAAGCTACCAACTTGAAAGTGGGAAGGCATGGGAGAGCAGGTGGGAGAGACTGTGGGAGAAGAAGGAGGAAGAAAAGTAATGTAATTCTATTTCAATTAAAAACATGTAGTAATCTTTAAAAGAAAAGGAAAGAAAGGAAACCTCCACCCAGATCTCTAAAGAGACTGGAATAGCTTCCATTCCTACAGGAGTAGAAAAGGTCCTTCCTGTCCAAATCTTCACCAGCATTTGCTGTTGTTGTCTTAATGACCAACAATCTGAATGGGTTAAGAAGAAATCTCGATGTAGCTTTGATTTTCATTTCTAGGAAGGCTAATGAGGTGCGTTAGAGTTCATGTGTCTATTGGCCATTTGTATTTCATCGTTTTCTTCTTTTTTTCTTTTATTTAAAAAAAAAAGCTATCTTTTTTCATTTTACATACCAATCCCAGTTCCCACTCCCTCTCCTCCTCCCATTCCCCCCACCTTTTCCCACCCAGCCCCCACTCCTCAGAGAGGGTAAGGCACATTGTTTTGAGGAAGGATAAAGGCCCTCCCTACTTTATCTAGACTGAGCAAGGCATCCCTCCAAAGAGAATGGGTTCCAAAAAGCCAGTAAAGAAAGCAGTAGAGATAAAACCTGGTGCCGCTGCCAGTTATATGCCCCAGCCATATAACTGTCACCCACATTCTGAGTGAGGGCCTAGTTTGGTCCTATGCTGGTTCCTTCCCTGTCCGGCCAGAGTTGGTGAGCTCCCATTAGCTCAGGTAAGCTGTTTCAGTGGGTGTCCCCATCTTTGACCTCTTTGCTCATATTCTCACTTTTCCCACTCTGCGAGTGGACTTTGGGAGCTCAGCCCAGCACTCCACTGAGGCTCTCTGCCTCTGCTTCCAACAGTTGCTGGATGAAGGTTCTATGAGGACATTTAAGATACTCATCAATCTGACCACAGGGCAAGGCCAGTTCGGACATCCACTCCACTATTGCTTAGGGTCTTAGCTGGGGTCATCCTTGTGGATTCCTGGGAAATTCCCTAGTGCCAGGTTTATTGCTAACCCCATAATGACACCCTCAATCAAGATATCTCTTTCTTTGCTCTCCATCTCTGTCCTTCCCCCATCTTGACAATCCCATTCCCTCAAGTTCTCCTCTCCCCTCCCATTTTTGCCTTCTGCCCTCCATTCTCCCCTGAATCCCCATGCTCCCAATTTTCTTGAGGGATCTTGTCTATTTCCCCTTCCCAGGAGGATCTATATATATGTATCTCTTAGGGTTCTCCTTGTTACTTAGGTAGTGGTTAAAAAAAAAATGACATCTTGAAATTTGCATGCAAATGCATGGAACTAGAAAAAAAAATCCTGAGTGAGTTAACCCAGACCCAGAAAGATGAGCATAGCATGTACTCACTCATAAGTGGATAACTAGTGTAAAACAAAGGATAATGAGCCTATAGTCCATGACCCCAGAGAAGCTAGGTAACAAGGAGAACCCTAATAGAAACATATGTATCTCATTTTTTTGAAAACTGTTTATTTCCTTAGTCCATTTGTTAATTGGGTTGTTTGTTTTTGTTTTGTTTTGTTTTGTTTTGCTGTTGAGCTTTTGTTTGAGTTCTTTATGTATCCTAGATATTAAATCTCTGCCAAGTGTTTTCTTAGTTATGGTTTCTGTTGTTGTGACCATGACCAAAAGTAGCCAGTGGAGGGAAAGGTCTATTTCATCTTACAGCTTTTAGTCCATCTTTCAGGGAAGTCAGGGTAGGAATTCAAGGTGGAATTTGGACACAGGGACTGATGATGCAGAGGCCACAGAGAGCTGCTGCTTACTGGCTTGCTCCCCAGGGTTTGCTCAGTCTGCTTTTTTATTGCGCCAGGACCACCAGCCCAGGGGTGACACTCTTCACAGCGAGCAGAAAAACCTCTCACACATCACTAATCAAGAAATGCCCGCAGGCTTGCCTTGACAGGACAATCTGGGGGGAGTGTTTTCTCAGCTGAGATTCCATCTTCCCAAATGACTCTAGCTTGTGTAAAGTTGACAATAGGCTCCTGACAACCTGATACACACGCTCATAACTGTTAAACCCCCGCTTTTTCTTTCTTGTTCATCCCCAAGATCTCATATTAATATTAATATTGCAATGTAACACATTTCAACTTTTAAAAGTCCTGCAGCCTTTGAAAAGTCAAACACTTTAAAAGATCAGTTTCTTTAAAGTAACTATTATGTAAGTTGTTCAGACAGAAATTAAACATAGAAACCATGGAATTTTAAAGAGACTGAACTTTCAAAGTTCAAGCCTCTCTAAATATCCAAAAGTCTCAAAAATATCCAGTCTCTCTAAAACTCCAAAGTCTCTGTAGAACTCCAAAGTGGGTGCTTACAAAATTTAAAAAAAAAAATCTTCTCACTCTCCCTCCCCTTCTACTCTTCATTCTCCCCCCACCCCATACTCCCAATTTTTTCAGGAGATCTTGCCTGTTTCCCCTTACCAGGGGGATCCATGTATCTTAGGGTTCTCTTTGCCACCTAGTTTCTCTGGGATCATGGACTATAGGCTGGTTATCCTTTGCTTTATGTCTAATATCCACTTATGAGTGAGTACATACTGTGTTTGTCTTTCTGCATCTGGGTTACCTCACTCAAGAGGATTTTTTTCTAGTTCTATTCATTTCCATTGAAAGAAAATGCAGCTTTGTTGGAGTGGGTGTGGTCTTGTTGGGGGAAGTGTGTCACTGGGGAGGTGGGCTTTGTGGTTTCATATAAGCTCAAGCCATGCCAGTGTCTCAGACTACTTCCTGTTGCTTGTGAGACAAGATGTAGAACACAATGGCTACTCCTCCAGCACCATGTCTGCCTGCATGACACCATGTCTCACTGTGACGATAATGCATCAAACCTCTGAAAATGTAAGCCACCCCAACTAAATGTTTTTCCTTTATAAGAGTTGCTGTGGTTATGGTGTCTCCTCACAGCATAGAAACCCTTACTCAGACAATGATGCATTAGGTATTTTTGATGTGTCTTTGAATTTAGTTTGTAAATATTTTATTGAGAATTTTTACATCTGTGTTCATCTGAAAATTTATCGATAATTTTCATTTTTTGTTTTTAAAAATTTATCTGAGTTTGGCATTAAGATAGTACTGACTTTGTGCACTTCCTGCAATTTTTCTTGACGTTGACTTTATTCTACTGTAGTCAGATAAAATACAAGAAGCTATTTTCTTATATTTGTTAAGACTTGCTTTTGTGTTCCAATCTGACATACGTTAGGAAAAGTTTCATGTGCTGAGAATAATGTATATTCTGCAATATTGGTGTGACACGCCCTGTGAATGTTTACTATGTCTACTTGAGCTCTGATGATGTTTATTTATTCATGTGTGTGTGCATGTGTCATGGAGCACTTATAAAAGTCAGGGGATGACTTGTAAGAGTCAGTTCTCTCCTTAAACCATGTGATTTCTGGTGAACAAACCCTTTCAGGCTTGGAAGCAAGTGTTCTTACCCACTGAGCCAACTCGACAGCTCCCTATGGTGTTGTTTAATCCCAGAGTTTCTGTGTTTAATGTTTGTCTGAATGATATATGTGTGAAATCTATATAGATATCCATTATGTAAATTATATTACATAATTTAAATAATTATAATTTAATTATAATTTAATAATTACATATTAAATAATTATAGATATCCATATGTAAATAATGGATATCTATATAATGGTGAGAGTGTGGCATTGAGGTCAACACTATTACTGTTTTGGGTTAATCTGTAGCTTTATACATAGTGCTATTTGTTTTATTAATTTGACTTTGATGCATATATGCTTAGAATTGTAATGCTACTGATGGGTTGTTAGCTTAATCAGCGTGGTCTGTTCTGACTAGACTTTGAAGTCTATTTTGTCAGATAGTAAAATTGCAACACCTGCTTGGGTCTTAATTTGCTTGGATACATATTTCCATTCTCTTGTCCTCAGATAGCACCTGTTGGATCCTTTTTCTAATTTAATCTGCTGATCTGCTTGTTTTTTTAGAAAAAAAAAGAATATCATTTATTTATTTTAATAATTTCTATATTTGTGTATACAATGAATATTGACCATATGGGTCTTCAACCCTCCTGATACTTTACCTGGATGCTCTCCCAACACATTTGTTCCTCCTCCCACCATGTTCTTGCCCCCTACCCCTGGTCTAATGAGCGCTGCCTTCTGCAGTGCAGATTGATCTCAAGGCTCAACACTGTGCAGGTCTTCTGCAGGTGACTAGAGCTACAGTGAGTTCAAGTGAGCAGTGGCCATGTCATGTCCAGAAGAGAGCATTTCACAGCTCTCCTCCCTATCCCCTGGCCCTTACGTTCTCTCTGACCCCTCGTCCTCCATGTTCCTTGAGCAGTCTCTAGTCCCCTTTTTCTAGGTTTGACCTGTTATGAATCTTTGCATTGCTGCTATCTCAGAAAAAAAAAAAAGGTGTCTCTGGCCAAAGTCAAGAGCGACACTAATCTATGGGTATAAATATAAATATTTAGAAGGTAGTTTGACGATAAGTTCATTTAGCAAAACAATGAAGTGGATACTCCCTTAGGACCGAAGAAGACCTCATGACCCATGGCTTGTACCAGGCTTTTAATACCAGGCATAAATCCCTTCCTGTGGAATACATCCAAATATCCCTTCCTGTGGAATACATCCAAATGTAAGAAAGTGCTTGGTTGCCACTATAACTTTTATGCCATTAACGCTGCAGTGGGCAAGCTAGACTTTGACAGATGAAGCATTTGGTGTCTAATGCTGGGTAAGAATACAGATGTTTCTACCCCAGGCCATGAGAGTTAGTCATCAGGAAGGCTATTTTCAGGATAGCCCCAGCTTCCTTTTCCTATGTTTTACAGCCAATGTGTGTTATTGCTTTTTTTTCCATTTTTATTTTATTTTGGTTTTTTATTTGCTTTTAAGCAGGCTCTTGCTATGTAGTCCTGGTTGTCCTCAAACTCACTTTGTAGGCTAGACTGGCCTCAAACTCAGAAAAATCTGCCTGGCTCTGCTTCCTGAATGCTAGGATTAAAGGTGTGTGCCACCATGCCTGGCCAACAATAAGATCTTATTATTTGGTTCTATTGGACAACAAGAGTGATAGCAACAGCTTGTGCTATTTTGGGGGCCTCTGGGAGACTCTGACCAATAATTCATAGGGAGGAATCCCATAATGGACATTGAGATTTTTGTTTAATAATCCTGTCTTCTGCAAGAAATAATCAAATTGAGGGCTGAAATCAACAAAACAGAAACAAAGAAAACAATACAAAGAATCAATGAAACAAAGAGCTGGTTCTTTGAGAAAATCAACAAACCCTTATCCAAACTAATCAAAAGGCAGAGAGAGAACATCCAAATTAACAAAATCAGAACTGAAAAGGGGACATTACAGACACTGAGGAAATTCAGAGAATCATTAGGTCATAATACAAAAACCTGTACTCCACAAAATTGAAAAATGTAAAAGAAATGGACAATTTTTTAGATAGATACCATATCTATCAAGACCAGGTGAGCAATTTAAATAGATCTATAAACTGCAAGGAAATAGAAGCTGTCATCAAAAACCTCCCAACCAAAAGAAACCCAGGGCCAGGGAGTTTTAGTGCAGAATTCTACCAGAACTTCCAAAAAGACCGAATACCTATACTCCTCAAAGTGTTCCACATAATAGAAACAGAAGGAACATTACCAAACTCTTTTTATGAGGCTACAGTTACCCTAATACAAAAACCATACAAAGACTCAACCAAGAAAGAAAATTACAGACCAGTCTCATTTACAAACATGAATGCAAAAATACTCAATAAAGTACTAGCAAACCAAATCCAAGAACACATTAAAAAAAAAAAATCCACCATGATCAAGTCGGCTTTAACCCAGAGATGCAGGGATGGTTCAACATATGAAAATCTGTCAATGTAATCCACCATATAAACAAGCTGAAAAATAAAAACCATATGATCATCTCATTAGGTGCCGAAAAAGCATTTGACAAAATACAACATCCCTTCATGATAAAAGTCTTGGAGAGAGCAGGGATCCAAGGAACATAATAAAACAATAATAGCTAAACATAATAAAAGCAATATACAGCAAGCCAACAGCCAACATCAAATTAAATGGAAAGAAACTCAAAGCGATTCCACTAAAAACAGGAACAAGACAAGGCTATCCTCTCTCTCCATATCTGTTCAACATAGTTCTTGAAGTTCTGGCTATAGCAATAAGACAACAAAAGGAGATCAGGGGGATTCAAATTCAAAAGGAAAAAGTCAAACTTTCATTATTTGCAGATGATATGATAGTATATATAAGTGACCCCAAAAACTCTACCAGATAACTCCTACAGCTGACAAATACCTTCAGTGATGTGGCAGGATACAAGATCAACTCAAAAAAAATCAGTAGCCCTCCTATACACAAACGATAAAGAAGCTGAGAGGGAAATCAGAGAAACATCAACTCTCACAATAGCCACAAATAACATAAAATATCTTGAGGTAACACTAACCAAAGAAGTGAAAGACGTATTTGACAAGAACTTTAAGTATTTGAAGAAAGAAACTGAAGAAGATACCAGAAAATGGAAAGATCTCCCATGCTCTTGGATAGGTAGGATCAACACAGTAAAAATGGCAGTCCTACCAAAAGCAATCTATACATTCAATACAATTCCTCTGCATGGGACAGTTCTGAGACTGGACCACAAATATTATAACTAGTTTCCCAGGACTTGACCGTTATCTCTGAGTCCCCTAAAGATGCCATCAGATTGCCTCATACAATAGAAGCAGTCCAAGAAACACAACATCCATATTCTCAAGAGATGGGGTAGGTGGTTTTCAGTCATTCATGGGTTATGGATGTTTGTCATCATTTGGGGGAGTATAGAAATGTAGGATAAAAAGACAACTATTAACCTCAAATATTTTACATCAGTATAGATTGATTTTGGTATATTGATACGAATTTAAAGTTATATTTGTTATACTGTATGTATATTTCTACTTTTATTTAGGGTATTGTGCTTATGCAACTCATTTAAAAATGTAATGTATAATTAAGAAATGCAGGTTAGTAGTCAGTCCTCTATAATAACAATCTATAATCAAATAGTTATGTTAGGTATATTTTCAAGATTAAACAGATATATTTTAGATAGGTAGATGATCTTAAAAACTTCAGAGACCTACAAAATATGGCTTTTAAGGTGTTTAATAACCTAAGACTTTTCCTGACAGGGAGATAGTTCTGTTCCTGGCAGCACCAATCTACTTCATTTCATAAAAGGATGACGAGTACTGAAGAATCTCCATATGGAGTTTGCTTTCAATTCTGCAAAGCTGGCCATCTGGACAAAAAAACTGCCCTTGCCTTGACTACTGACAGTATGCTTTACATCCTGGACCAGCAGAACACAAAGGAAAAAGACTGCTGAACTTTGCCAAGACAAGGCTGGAAAGTCCTTCAAAATTACTGCTTCATAGAAGAGTCTGCCAGATATTCTAGGCCTATATGCCAAAGATAGATGTACCAACATGGCGGAGGAACCGAGGGTGGCTGTGCAGGCAATGTTGGTGATGTCTTTGTTGTTTCTTAGTTTTGGAAGATGTTTGCTTAGCACTTCCTGTTTAACCAGGTAATATTATATCCTTCTTGGGTCTTTGATGGGGCTAAAGACCAGATAGCTATAGTTACAGTTTTCCTTGTTATCAAATTCAGAAAAGAAAGTTTCCAAAGTGGTATCAGGTGTTGAGGGACACAGAAGCTTAAATTGTTTATCTAAGAAAATGTTTGAGATCTAAAAAAATAGTTTTGGATTGGTAATACAAGTTATGATAGAAAGTAAATTAGGCACAAAACTTTTGATTTTCTCTGAATTTTTCAGATACAGATAGACTGGACGGTATAAATGTAATTCTTACCTGATAATTGTTCTTATTGTATATAGTTTTACTCTGTTAGAGTTAAAACCTTCCCTTTTTATTTAGACAAAAATGGGGAAATGTGGGATATGTTTGTATACTGTGTGAAGATATGTTACTGTGATTGGTTTAATAAAGAGTTGAAAGACCAGTTAGCCAGACAGGAGGTATAGGTGGGACTTCCAGGCAGAGAGAAAGGAAGTAGGAGATGAGTCCGGGCTTGAGTCAGACGCCAATGAGACCTGGAGGGAGTCAGACATACAGAATGAAAGAAAGGTAGAAAAACCACAAGACAAAGCATAGATTAATATAAATGGTTTAATTTAAGTTATAAGAGCTAGTGGGACAAGTTTATGGGAAGGCCAAGCTTCCACAATTAATAACTCTCCATGTTGTTATTTGGGACTCATTACAATCAAGCTGCCATCTAAATTCATAACTCTCCACCTGTAAATACAGCTCTCAGACCCCACCAGAAATTTCTCTTTGTGCAATGGATGGCAGTTAATGCAGAAGCTCACAACTGGTCAAAATGCAGAGAATAAGGAAGTGTCTGTGCAGTGCTCAGCTACAAACAGGACTCTATAGCACACTGCTCCTCCCTTCTCCCAAGGTTCAGGGACCGCTGCAGAAGATGGGGCTGGAGGTTGTAAGGGCCAGAGGTTTGGGAGAGCTACATTGAGCCAGAGGTTTGGGAGAATCACACTGTCTTCTGGGCATGACAATACTACCACAGTCACAAACTCACAGCTGCTGAGTGGTTGCCTGAACAAGATGTGTACAGGATTAAGGCAGTCAGCATCCTAGCATGGAATAGCAAGGGGTTCGTTAGCCCTGAACTCTAAGAAACTATGAACAGCTGATGGCTTCTGGGGATGAGAGAATCAGTGTTCCTTAAAGGTGAGTTGTTTGTTTTTTAAAAAGAACAGGAAGTTGCAGGGTAGTGATATGGGGGTGGATCTGAAGAATTTAAGAGGAGTTGGGGATAAAGATGACTAAAATACATTGTACAAAATCCTCAAATACTTAATTAAAGAATTGAAAACAAAAATACCCTTTGTCCTAATTTGCTTTCTGTTGCTGTGATAAACACCATGACCAAAGGCAACTTGAGAAGGAAAGGGTTCATTTCAGCTTAGTTTCTGTCCCAAAGGGAAGCCAAGGCTACAAATCCTCAAGGCAGGAACCTGGAGACAGGAACTGAAGCAGAAGCCATGGAGGAATGATGTTTACTGATTTGCTTCCCATGATTTGCTTAGCCTGCTTTCTTATACCATCTGGGACCACATGCCTAGGAACGGCACTGCCCCGGTGAGCAGGGCTCTTCCACATCAATCATTAACCAAGAAAATGTAACACAGACTTGCTACAGAACAATATGATGGAAGACTTTTCTGTTGATGTTCTTTTTTTTCCACAGAAAACTGAAACTTGTATCAAACTAACAAGAGAGATAGAGATAGATGGAGAGAGAGAGAGAGAGAGAGAGAGAGAGAGAGAGAGAGAGAGAACTAACCAAGCTGGGCACACACCTGTAATCCCAGCATTGTGGAAGCAAAGGCAGACAGATCTCTGTGATTTTGAGGCCAAACTGGTCTGCAATGCAAGTTCCATGTAAGCAAGAACAACATCATAAGACCCTCTCTTAACAAAACAAGGATGAAAACAAACACAAAAGCCCACTAAACAGGACAGCTAAGAAAGACTTCCTCGGGTCATCTGTAGCTGTGGAACTTGAGGGCCGGCTCCACCTGGAGCTGAGAGCAGAACACAGCAGCTTTCACAAGGTAGTGGTTTTTAAGACTGAAGGAACCATGGAGGCTTTCATCAAGGCTCGAGAGAGCCAAGCAATGTGAAGCAGGAAGGACATTCCTGAAAGAAGTCCCTGAGAAGGCACTGCATAAAGCTAGAGAGTGGACACCTAAGATGCAGAGTGGATTCCAAGATCAGAAATACCAGGGTCATGGACAGCCACAAGAAGAGCTGCAGGTATGGAGTGGAATTGGCTCAAGGGGGTGGTGTGTGTGCAGCCTGGGACAGAGCTGCAGAAGTGGGGCTACTCGAGTCATTTATAGCCCATATAAACATCATGACTCCCAGATGCCAAGCATGAACTGCAGGATTTGGTGTCTTCCCTCGCTGAGTTTCAATCTTGCTTTGGTCCAGTCATTCCTTGCTGGTGCGGGAGAATTGTCTGTACTCTGTCAATCATGTTTTAAATAAAAGCTGATTGGCCAGGCAGGAAGTATAGGTGGGTCAACCAGACAGGAAGTAGATGAGAACAGGAGTATTCTGGGAAGCAGGAAGCTCCCTCTGCAGTCCAGCCCAGATCACTGAAGAAGCAACATGTGACCTGTCCCACTGAGAAAGGTACCGAGCCATGTGGCTAACATAGATAAGAATAATGGGTTAATATAAGCTACAAGAGCTAATAAGTAGCCTGAGCTAATGGGCCAATCAGTTTTATAACTTATGGAGATCTCTGTGTGATTTTCTATGGGACTAAATGGCTGGGGGACCAGATGGGACAGAAGTCCTCATGTTACATCTTGCTATGACATTGTTTTTCCATGGAATGGTGTAGTGGATTGAATGAGAATGCCCTCATAGACCCCTATGTTTGAACACATGGTCCTCATTGCTGGAGATGTTTGGGATGGATTAAGAGGTGTGGCCTTGTTGAAGGAGGCATGTCAATGGGGACAGGCTTTGATGTTTCAGAAGCCCACCCTATTCCCCAGTGTTCTCTCTCTGCTTCCGGATGCTGAATCAAGATGTGAGCTCTCAGCTGTTCCTGATACCTTTGCTCCACTGTCATGGACCCTAGCCCTTTGAAAACATAAACCCAATTAAATGCTTTATTTAATAAGTTGCCTTGGTCATGGTGCTTTGTCCCAGCAATAGAAAAGTAGGAGAGATGGAAATGTTTATTGTGTATTGGAAAGATGTGCCTTCTTTATTTTATGAGACCTTGTAGTTAAGAGAGTCCTGTAGTTGGTTGGTGTTTTTACCCTTAGTTCTTTGACTTTTGGGGGGCACTGCCACCCAGTTCTCCAGTAAATCACACACATGAAGACTTCCTCTTACCCATATATCCATCATATCTTTGCATTGTTACACAAATGTTCCACAGCATAAACAAATGTAACACATCTTAAAATAATATTCCACAACAGGACCCTTGAGTCTCCAATGGAGACATAGACATTAAACTTTTAAGCAGCATAGGAATTGTTAAAAAAAAAAAAAAAAACTATGGGGACTTTGGATGTTAGACGGAATCCATTTTCTGCATTATGAGATAGACATGAGCCTTTGAAGACAAAGGGAGGAGATTGTGACTCTAAGTGATATGTTTGTGCATCAAGTAGAGGTTGAGAGGCTGCAGTTAACAATGTGTCACCCTGGTAGAATGGAGACTCTCCTGGGAGGCAAGCTCCAGGACACCGGGGAAAGATCATCTAGATTAGCTGAGCTTCTGGGCATGCCTGTGAAGGGTTAACCTGGTCAACTGAGGTGCGAAGACCCATCTTAGCTGTGGGTGGTGACATCCCACGGGCTGGAGTAAGACTTAATCCAAGGGAGGCAGCTTGCTGGACACTTCCTGTTCCTCTTCTTTGCTATAGACACAGTGTGAAGAGCTGTCCTCCCACTCCTGCCATCAGGCCTCCCCGTGTGGAGCCACGTGGAACCCCTCAAACTGTCAGTCAGAATAAACCCTTCCTCCTTAAAATGCTTCTTGTCAAGAGTTTGCCTATGGCAATAAGGAGAGGAACAAATATACTCTCTGAGACCTCCATGTTTTGCATTTTTCTCGGCATGCTTGTCTTCCTGATGCCCCCAGAATGGCCCATTAAACTCTGCATAGAGTGTTTTAAGATTTCTTTAACCCACAGCTACAAACTCCTCCACATTCCTCCCACAAATCAATTCCAAAAGCTTCAGGTTTATAACAGCAACATGCCCACGGTTGGCACTGACTGCTCAATTGGCTTATTAGCTCATCACTGTGACCAATACCAGATCAGAAGCGATTTAATGGAGGAAGGGCTGCTTTTGCCTCCAGTTTAAGAAGGCGTACTCTTTTGTGGCAGGGGAGGCAGAGTGGCAGGAGTGCCAGGTGACTTAATACATCATATTGACCATATCGTTATATTAGTGATTTTAATCTACTAGCATAGAGACTCGCACCATCTTTAGACTCCTGGGAGTAAGGTGGGTCCTGTCACCCACAGAGTCCTCTTTTGCCTGAAAGCTGCTCTGATAGTCTAACCATCGGGCAAAGAATCATGGGCTCCATCTTGCTGCACTTTGCTCCCAGATGAGCTCTGCAAGCCTCTTCGCCAGCAACTCAACACCTCTCTCTCCCGCAATAACCAGAACCCACAGCACTCCTCCGTACTCTTACCTCACGTCTGACTCA